TCAGGTGACGTAGTATGAAGAGCAAGAAAGTCTGCATATGTTTGTGGATGGATGGCTCCAACAAACACCAGCCTGTGAACCAGGAGACAGCTGTTCGCGTGAAACCAAATGTAAATCATTTCTAAAAGTTATATCAGGTAAAGTTCCATTTTATTCTGTAAAAATACAGAGAGCTGCTGAGATTGATACCACTCTGTCTGTAAGCTTAATATGAAGATATGACCAGCAGCTGCTTAGCTTAGCTTAGCATACAGACTAGAAATAGGGGAAACAGCTAGCCTAGCTACCAGCACCTGACTTGTGTATTGTTTGTTTAATGCTTACAAAAACCTTTGTATATAAATGTGAAGTTATTTCTTATTTGACTCTCGACTAGAAAGCTAATGAGCATCTCCCCCATAATGTTGAACTTCTCCTTTAACACACAGAGTGACATTGAGAGTGTGATCGCTCACTCAGCTCGCTGCAGCTTCCTGCAGCTTTGAAGTCAGTTCCAGCGCAGTTATGAGTAACAGAGTAACAGAATCTCTTTTCCCATCATTCCCTCTGTGTATACGAGCGGCTGACCTTCCTGACTCCCCTCCAGATGCTCTGACTCTCTTACCTCACGGACCCCCGAACACAGACATGTCTACATTTCGACAATTTACAGCCCTGTTTCCAGGGCCGCCCTCCTCATGTAACCTCCAGACTGGTGTTTGACCTCCAGTCCTCTCCTCACCCTCCCCGAAAGGTTCCTCCTCTCACAGCCTCACGCTCACACTCTCCTCGGCTCTGTCCCTGGATCCTGCACTCAGCTCCTGTTGTGTCCCTTCTTTTGTCACTTCTTATGATTAATAATCCACTTAATGAACACCATCCATTCCCTGCAGTGAATCATACAGCTAACCGCAGTATCAATGGATGCCAGACCAAAGGACAAATAACAATTAGGTGATATACTGTTTTACAGTTGCACTTAGAGGCTGTAACGCTGCCAAATGTCAGAGAAAATGTGTCCTCGGACTAATAACATGGACTTCATGAGGCAGTGGAGATTGACTGCAGTGTGGAGTCCATTGATGTCTAAATCTCACCACAGAGGACCTGAACCACAGTATTAGTCCAAACGAGGGACATTTAAAGATATTAGTACCTGAAGACAGTGTTGGGCCTAGTGTTTCCTTATATAGACAAAGAGAATTAAACTCCTTCACATTGTCTTTGTAATGTAAATGAAGCTTAAATTTTAACTTGAATTGAAATTTTTGTTGGGTTAAAGTTGGAGGAGTTTTCATTCAGAATAACCAGAGAAACGTTCGTTATCTCCTGTGTGACAGAATGTGTAATTCAAAGACAGAAAGAAAGAATGTTACCTTGGCCTTTATCCACGAAGCTGGTGATGGTGTTGGCCAGACCCGCTTCATGCAGGGCGCTGCTGTTCAGGTCCCCGGTGGAGAGAGACCAGTACAGCGACAGCATGTAGTCGTGAGGAGTAACCAGCGGCTGTTTGTGATGCGCTTCCCGGTCGCTCGGTTTCAGGGCCTTGTTGTTGGCTCCCCGCTGCGCCACCGGACCCGCGCTCTGCTGCGGCTGCTG